CTTATTCCATAATCCTTTAGAACTGGAAGAAGCAGTCTTTAGACAATTCATTCGTCCATGTAATATTTCCCTTGTAGGTTATAGAAATTAGACTCATGGCTTAGCTTCCATAGTTAGAAAGGATATCTTCTCTACCCTTAAGAAAAAACACTGTGGTTTGAGTTCCCCTATCTAGTTCTAGATATGCCTTAAATCTGAAAGCCTAGTTTTAAGACTTGATGTAGAGTCAGTACAAAATATAACCAAAGTCTCAAAGGTCAGAAATTACTTTGTTCTATAGCTACACACTGTCCAGTATGGTAGCCAGTAGCCCCATATGGTTAACTTTAAATTTAAAATAATTAAAATTAATTAAAATTTAGAAATACAGGTCCTCATACTAGCCACATTTCAAGTTCTCAGTAGCCACATGTGGCTAGTGGCCACCATATAGGACAGCAAGAATACAGAATACTAACGTCATTGTTAATGTAATGAAAGTTCTATTGGATGGCTATTCTAGAGTCGAACCCACTTCCCTTTCCTGAAGCACTAAGATACTTCATGGAGAAGGAAGCTTCCCATAACGTAAGTTTTGCAGGATATGGCACTACATCTAAAAAAATATTTTTAAATAATTACTCCTAATAGTTGTTGCCCAGGACTCCTAAGAGGTTGGGTTAGTCAATAAGTCCCACCTACTTCTCCAAGAGTCGGTGATGTTCTCTGTTTCTCCTAAGGAGAGGGTACATAGTTTGTGGAGCTTAGTGCAAATTCAAAATTTTTAAATTTTATTCAAAGTTATTTTAAAATGTCAAGATAGTAGTAACAGAGTATTAATGCAGTTACTGACTTTTCTGAGTGAGGGGCCAGTATAACTGCATAGGTCTCACACCTACGAAGCTGGCTTTGTTCAAGATAATTGTACCTAAAAAAGAAATCAAGGCAGCCCTGTGGGCTCACTGGGGAATTTGCTCATGAGTGGCAATGCCAGAGACCACAGCTGGGCCAGTGCTGGCCACACTCAGATGTTAATTCAGACAGCTGCCCAGGGAATGCCTGTAACTGGAGGGAGCCACCTAGCCAAAAAGAAGAGACAGGAAATAAGGGCCCCAACATGTGGTATTGGAAAGCCCAATGCTTGAAGGTCTTGGCATGTCAACTGCTTCCAGCTGGGTATGTTTCCAACCAAACCAGGGCCATGTGCAGCCAGGAAGGCTGAGATTTGTCATGACCGTCATTTTAGAAGCTACTGGAGGACAGGGGAAAGGCCACACACCCAGAAACTTCAGCTTTCCTGCTTGGACAGCTGATGTATGGTATCCAGGAACTTGTGCACAGGGGAGGTCTTCCCTGCCTCAATCTGAGAGACAAGGGGATTTGAGGAAAGGCCAGAACAACAGTCACTCAAAACTTCAAAATGAATCATCAATGCCAAGGAATAAGATGGAAAAAAAAAATCTACTTGTAAGTTGGCTAAGCAGAAGCTGAGGAAAACAGACAAAAACTAAAAGATCTGAGGTGGAAGGTGAGACTTGGAACCTGTAAACATTCTGTAAGATAAGTAAATTAACTCCCACAGCTTCTTAGAGTTTAGCAGATTGGTACCTACAGGGAAATGCTGGTTAAAATTCAATAAAAAATAATTTTTTAACAAACAGCTGAGCTCAAAAGGAAAAAAAAAAGGTCTCAGAATAAAAAGAGAAAAGAAAACCATAGTGGTTTCAGTGTGAGTTGACCCTCTGATTCACTTGATGGTCTAAACAGTTCTTGTTCAAGGTTTTCTTCAGGTGTCCTTGTCTGTCATATCGATCCCCCACCTTGGGCAAAGACCTGGCCCTGAGCCCAGCCCAGGCTCTTGGCCACCCTCTCTGTTCAAGTTTAGAAGCTGAATAAAGGATCTCCCTGAGCTTCCTGAAACACAGATTCTGGGGACCCAAGTAATGTCCTTGAATGAAGACCCCTGAAGTATGAAAAGAGTAGAAAAGTCCAATCACTCAGCCTGGGAAAGCAGTAGGGAAGCTTGCGGTTTTAATTTCTCACATGGGACTTTTAAATTTTTATCCTAACCCTAGGCAGATAGCAAAGTTCTAGTAGAGAGGAAAGAGGAAAATACATTTTAAAACTAGATCAACCTAGGGGCGTCAGTTAAGCGACCAATTCTTGGTTTTGGTTCAGGTCATGATCTCGGGGTCATGAGATGAGCCCTGCATTGGGCTCTGCACTCAGTGTGGAGTTGGCTTGAGATTCTCTCCGTTTCCCCCTGCCCTCCCCCTCTGCCCCTTCTCCCATGCAAATGTTCTCTCAACCTTTCTAATAAATAAATAAATAAAATCTTAAAAAAAAAAAAAACTAGATCAACCTAATAGAAAGTAGAGAAGAAAAAAATCAAAATTAAAGAATGGTAAATAGAAAACAACATAATGAAGTCTAAACAGGTCAATAATCAAAGTATATAAATATTAATATACTGACCTTGCCTACTAAGAGACAGAGATTTTCATAAGAACTTTTAAAAATTCAACCATGTACTGCTTATTAAGAGACACACCTAAAACATTATGATGGAGAGATCATTATGTAAGTGGTAACATGTACTAAAAATTTAATAAAAATTAAACAAATATAATAATATCAATATCAATTTTTTAACTTTAAGCCAAAAGGAGGGTTATTATATGAAGATACAAGGATAAACAGAATAATTCACATTGAAGAAATAGTCATTTGGAACCTCAAACGTATTTTTTTGTGTGGGGGGGGGTATATGTGTGTGTAAATCAAAAATCATAGTTGTAGAAGACATAAACAACATAAGTAATCCTACACCCAAGATTCAAAATACACATTATTTCTAGCACACATGAAACATTTATAAAAATTTACTATAATATGTCAAAAAGCAAATTCCAAATAAATACTAATGACCCAGAATCATATAAAACATGTTCTCTGATAACAATGAGATAAAATTAGAAATCAATATAATAGTTACACTGTCCTTTTCATGTTAGAAGCTTCTAAATATAGGGCACCTGGGTGGCTCAGTTGGTTAAGATCTGCTTTCAGCTCAGGTCATGATCTCAGGGTCCTGGAATCGAGACCCACACTGGGCTCCCTGCTCAGCGGGGAGTCTGCTTCTCCCTCTCCCTGAACCCCTCCCCCCTGCTCCTTCTCTCTCACTCTCTCTTTCTCTCTCTCTCAAATGAATAAATAAAATCTGTTAAAAAAGAAGCTTCTACCTAATTATTAAGTAGGGGAGAAAAATAAATGAAAATTACCAAATGCCCAGATAATGAAAACACTAGTACCAAAATGTGTGGTATGCAATTTAAGCAATATTTAATAGGAAATTTAGAGCTTTAAATGCATATAAGAGAAGAGAAGGAAGCATATACCTCAAAAGCTAATTAGAACAGAGAATGCAAAAGAAAAGAAATAACAAAAGGAAGAGAAAGAGATGAAAGGGGAGAAATCAATAAGGAATCAATAGACCCAAAAGCCAGTTCTTTCTGAAGACTAATAAAATAGGCAAACCTGGCAAAATCGATTGACAGAAAAAGTGAAAAAGTGGGGGAAAAAAGGGACATGACTACAAATAGTCAAAGTTTTTAAAGACCCTAGAAAATACAATGAATATCATTACACAAATAAATTTGACAATTTAATGAAATGGACAGTTCTTTAGAGATATAAAAAATCAGTAAAATTGACTTGAAAAAGAAATGGCAATCTTCATATTTATTTATACCCATTAAATAAATTGAATCTGTAATTTTAAAAAATTGTACCCATTAAGTATGTCTCCTCAGGCAAGAGAAACAAAAGCAAAAATTAACTATTGGAATTATTCCAAAATAAAAAGCTTTTGCACAGCAAAGGAAACCATCAGCAAAACAAAAGAGCAACCTACTAAATGGGAGAAGATATTTGCAAATGATATAGCCGATAAGGAGTTAATATCCAAAATATATGAAGAACTTATACAACTCAACACCAAAAAAACAATCTAATTAAAAATGGGCAGAGGACCTGAATAGACATTTCTCCAAAGAAGACACAAAGATGGTCAACAGATAAATGAAAAGATGCTTGACATCACTCATTATCAGAGAAATGCAAATCAAAGCCACAATGAGATATCACCTCATACCTGTCAGAATGGCTGAAATCCAAAACACAAGAAACAACAAGTATTAGTGAGGACATGGAGAAAAAGGAAACCTCCTGCACTGTTGGTGGGAATACAATTTGGTGCAACCACTGTGGAAAACAGTATGGGGGTTCCTCAAGACATTAAAAATAGAAATATCATATGATCCAGTAATTCTACTACTGGGTATTTACCCAAGGAAAATGAAAATATTAATTCAAAAAGATATATGAATCCCTGTGCTCCTGGAAGCATCATTTACAATAGCCAAGATATGGAAGCAAGCCAAGTATCCACTGACAGACAAATGGCTAAAGATGGGGCATATATATACAATGGAATGTTACTCAGCTATAAAGAAGAATGAAATCATGCCACTTGCAACAACATGGAAGGACCTAGAGGGTAATATGCTAAGTGAAGTAAGACAGATATGATTTCACTTATATGTGGAATATAAAAAAACAAAACAAAGGAATAAACAAACAAAAGCAGAAACAGACCCATATACAAAGAGAATACAATGAATACAATACAAAGAGAACAAACTGATGGTTGCCAGAGGGGAGCGGAGGTAGGAGGATGGGCAAAATGAATGAGGGGGATTGGGAGGTATAGGTTTCCAGTTATGGAATGAATAAGTCACCAAGATGAAAGGTACAGCATATGGGATATAGTCACTGGTATTATAATAGTGTTGTATGGCAACAGACAGTAGCTACATGGGGTGAGCATAGCATAACATATAAATTTGTTGAATCACTATATTGTACACCTGAAACTAATATAACATTTTATGTCAACTATACTTCAATTAAAAAAAAAACTGTACCCATTAAAAAAAGCACCATGCTAACCAAATACTTACCCCCATAGGTGAGTTTAACCAAATCTTCAAAATTTATTTCCTGTATTAGACAGTCTTTTTCAATGAAGAGATAGAAGAGATCCTTGCTTCATTTTATAAGTATACTTTTGATACCCAAACTGCACAAAGACAATATGAAAAAATAAAGTATTTAGTTATTCTTACTTTTGAACACATGCATAAATATTTTAAAATATTACCTAACTGAATTAAGTAATGCATTTATAACACATCATAATAGACAAGGTACAAAGCAAATATAATAAGATGTTAATTGTAGAGTCTGAGTGGTTGATGTATGGGTGTTCACTGTGCAGGCCTACTTTTCTCATTTAAAATTTTTCATTTGAAAACCTTAGGAAAAGTAAGAAATAAAATCTTTGTACATCTGTAACCTCTAAAAGTGTATCAGGACAGAATCCCAAGGATGACTAAAAATCTATCAATGTAATTCATCTCATTAGTACAAATGAGAAATTTATAAAAGTACAATTTATGGGGGGCGCCTGGGTGGCTCAGTTGGTTAAGCGACTGCCTTCGGCTCAGGTCATGATCCTAGAGTCCCGGGATCGAGTCCCGCATTGGGCTCCCTGCTCGGCGGGGAGTCTGCTTCTCCCTCTGACCCTCTTCCCTCTCATGCTCTCTGTCTCTCATTCTCTCTCTCACAAATAAATACAATCTTAAAAAAAAAAAAAAAGTACAATTTATGGGGGTACCTGGGTGGCTCAGTAAGATAAGCGTCTGATTCTTAGTTTCTGCTCAGGTCAGGATCTCAGGTTCATGAGATCGAGCCCCACCCCTCATCCCCAGTCAGGCTCGGACTCAGCATGGAGTCAGCTTGGGATTCTCTCTCTCTCCATCTGCCCCTCCCCCCACTCACGTTCTCTCTCTCTCAAATAAATATGTAAAATTTTTTTTTTAAGTGTAATTTATGGAAAAAAGAAAAACTACTGGCAAACTGGGAATGGACTACAACCTCATCATCCTGATGAAGAGTGTTGTAGGCTTGGGCGTGGCTATTAGTGGCAGAAAACTCCAAACTATATAGAATTTTACTTCTCTCTCATATAAAAGACTAGTTAGGTGGCCCAGAGGCAAGTTCTTTCTATCATATTATGTTTTGTGTGATCTTTATTCCTAAGATTACTTCAAGTCCAATATATTGCTCCAACTCCAGTCATCACATCTGCATTCCAGGCCGCAGGAAGTAGAAAAGGGGAAAGTGGTTATGTTTCCCCTTTAGGATACACTGAAATTTGCACGTATGACTTGCATTTACATCCCCATGGCAGAAACTAGTTATGTGCCTTCACGTAGTCGAAGATGGCTGGGAAATACAGGTATTTTCTTGGCAGACATGTCTTCAGATAAAATTTAAAGATTTTGGGGTGCCTGGGTGCCTCAGTCAGTTAAATGTCTGACTCTTGATTTCAGCTCGGGTCATGATCTCAGGGTCGTGAGACTGAGCCTTGGAGCCTGCTTAAGGTTCTTTCTTTCCCTCTCTCTTTGCTCCTCTCACCCCTAAAAAAATTTAAGATTCTACTTAGGGAAAAGGAGAGAACCAATTCTTGGGGGGAGGGAGGGCACCCAGCAGTCTCTTCCACATGTATCTATCAGAAACCTCTAGAAAACATGACAGTGGTAAAACATTACACATGTGCTCTCTAGAGTCAGGAACAAGTCAAGAGTTCCTGTTATCACAGGTTCTCTCTCTCTTTTTTTATTTTTATTTTTATTTTTATTTTTATTTATTTATTTGACAGAGAGAGAAAGCTGGGGAGGGGCAGAGGGAGAAGCAGGCTCTCTGCTGAGTAGGGAGCCCAATGTGGGGCTCGATCCCAGGACCCTGGGATCATGACCTGACCCGAAGGTAGAAGCTTAACAACTGAGCCACCCAGGTGCCCCTCATAACTTCTTGTAGTGAGTCCTAGCCAGTGTGATACTTAAAAAGAAGGAGGAGGAGGAGGAGAGGAGGGGTAGGAGAGGAGGAAGAGGAGGAGGAAAGAAAGAAAGAAAATTTTTCTTATTTGCAGACCATGGGATTATTTACATAGAAATTGCATAGGGAGAAAAAAAGAGAGAGAGGATGAAAGCAAGAAAAGGAAGAAAGGAAGGAAGGAAGGAAGGAAGGAAGGAAGGAAGGAAGGAAGGAAGAAAGAAAGAAAGAAAGAAAGAAAGAAAGAAAGAAAGAAAGAAAGAAAGAAAGAAAGAAAGAAAAAGAAAAGAAAGAAAGAGGAAGAAAGCAAGAAAAGCAAGCAAGCAAGCAAGCAAGAACAAATGAACTTTAAAACATGGTTGGTGTAAATGTGCATTGTTTAAAAACCACACTGGAGAATAATGTTGCAATATTAAATGAGGTTGGTATGCACATACCCTATGACTTAGAATTCTCCTTGTGGATATATATCCTAAAAAATTCACATACATGTCCCCAGAGAGACGTGAAAGAGAATGTTTATTGTGGCATTATATTTAACAGCAAAAACGTGAAAACAAACTGAGTGTTTAAAAACACGATTGTGGATAAACTGTGGTGCCAGAGTCACACAATGAAATACTAAATAGGTATGTACTAAATATATAACAACCAGGCAGGAAGGATACATGCTAATTTTGGGATACTGATTACCTTTGGGCAGAGAGCAACAGAACTGGGCAGTGGGGGCTGTGGTTAAAATGTATCCATATTGTTAAAACAAAAAACTCTAAAGCCATTATGGCAAGATGTCAACATCAGTTAAATCTGTTAAAAACAATGAGCCTGACCATATGTACAGACTGATAAGGAATGATTTCCAAGGCATACTGTTAAGGACAAAAGTAAGCTGTGGAAGAATGTGACATGTAGACTACCATTTGTGTAAAAGGGGGATCAGCTTGTGTTGAATATTTCTGAATGACACAAAATAAACGGACAATGATGATCTCTAAAGGGGAAGGAGGCTGAGGACTGGGGCCAGCAGTGGAAAAGAGACCAACTTTGTGAACCTTTTTCTACTATTCGGCTGCTTTTAGCTCTTGCATTTGTTTTCTCAAAAGTAAAATATTAAAGCAAAAAACATCTTTAATTAAAATTATTTCTACCCCAACAATGCATTTAGAGCCAAAATTACTCTTTTGAGGAATATTTTGCATAAAAATATAAGTGTATCCTTATGTTTGCCATCTTCCCAAATGACTGATTTTTCCAAAGAGTTCTTGATAATAAGTTCCTTATGATCAGTCACACAGAAATATACACCCTGCCCGCTGCATCTGCCTTAACTGTGCATCTATTTATATGGTATGACGGATACTTTCCCTAATAGATCTTACCATTTCCCCTGCTAAGGAATTGAGTGCTGACTAAATGGTTGATGACACATGGGAGTTATTCCTACATTTTCCACACACAGTAAGACAAATCAATGCAATGCCCTTTCTGCTGGTAGAAGCACTAACAGCTTTGGGGCATTGTCAGAAGGGGTGGGGGGCATACAATGAATCCACAGTTCTGGACTTTTCTTTGAGAGGCAGCCTGAGGCAATTTGAGAGCAAAAGCAGGATTTGGAGTTCCTAACCTCACACGTTTTATTTCTGTGAGCTAATTTACAATCAAGAGAGCTCCCATGCTGTCAGATCTAGAACTCAACTACTTCAAACAGTAAACTTCCCTCTTATATTTTGCTTTGAGTTTCTTAAGCATGAGTTTGTTTAAAAGCTGATTACCTGAGTAGAGTAGTGATTTTCAAACCTTTTATCGTAGGACCACTTTAGGAAACAAAACTGATCCTCACTGCCTTCTCTTTCCCGAAGCTAGACCCTCTGGGCCCCATGCCCCAGCTGGTGGAAAGTGCAAGATTCTGGTTTATACCACTTTACAGGTATCGGGGAGGCAGGAGAGAGACTCAGGGTAATAGGGGAAAAGAGGAAAGAGGCTCATAGTCATCTCTTTTTTATGTCTTTCATTTCACAACTTCTTCCTTCCCATGCCTGCTGGTGTGCTCCCTCACCTTGTTTCAGAGCCAAAAGGCAGGTCAACTTCACTGCTTCTTATCCAAGTTGGCAGAGGTTGGTGGCAGCAGGGTGGTAACTCTGCCCGATGTTCTCAAGCTACACTTGGGACATGTCCAACAGCAAAGTCACTCAGTAAACAGTTCTCTGTATTCTCTTTTCCTTGAGTTGGCTGGAATATCTAGGACCTAGTACCACCCACTCTTTAATTCAAGACAAGCCCACAGACCAGAAACTTCACAGATCACCCTATCTTAAAGCTGTCTTTTTCGAGGTACAAAATGCCATCCCCCAAATCATTGATATGTTACATTATTTCAATTCCAAGCCCTATCGATGTCCTTTTCAAGGCTTGGTTTTTCTATTTTTAGGAATATTTCCTGTACATCATTCATTCAATATTCAAGAACCTTACTAAATGTCTATTTTGTGCCTAGTTTTGTACTGGGGTTGAGTGGGGTTAAGGGAGATGAACAGATATTGCATGTAACCGTTCCTTATTTTAAGAAGCTTACAAAATGACTGGAAAGAGAGAAGTCAATATGAAACAAATAAAGAATAACTCAAGACAAGAGATCTTTTTTTTTTTTTTAAAGATTTTATTTATTTATTTGAGAGAGAGAGAGAGAAACAGCATGAGAGGGGAGAGGGTCAGAGGGAGAAGCAGGCTCCCCGCTGAGCCGGGAGCCCGATGTGGGACTCGATCCCAGGACTCCGGGATCATGACCTGAGCCGAAGACAGTCGCTTAACCAACTGAGCCACCCAGGTGCCCAAGACAAAAGATCTTTAAACACCAAAAGCAAGGAATAAATATAAGAGACCTGGAGAGATTAGGAAAAGCTTTAAGAAAGATGTTGGGCTGGAGCTAGGTTTTTAAGGAGGCGTGGAAGGTTGGGGAGGGTTTTCTAGGTGTGAAATAATAGTGAAGACCACAGAGGCTGGTCTCAGCAGAGCAGACCGTGGGACTGACAGAGCCGTCTAATAAAGCAACTCTGAAACCCGGTAAACAGGTAAATAAGCAAACAAAACCAAGGGGCAAAGATAGATTAATAAGTTGGGAAGAATTAGTTATTTGGCTACATATAGACTCCTAGAGATCAAAGGGACCTCATGAATTATGTCATC